TTTTTGCATTTGGATTGAAAAATAATGCTAAAATCGAAGATATTTGTATCGCAAATATTGTTCCAGTTCAAACCTCGCTTTTGATTGATTGCTAATCAAATTCTATTTATTCAAAACTACTAATTGGACTAATTTAAATTCTTTACGAATCCAACATGTGAGTCGAACTTTGGTACCCCCAAGTTCAAATATTATTTGCCTTCATGACTAGAAGTTCAAACTCACGTGTTATCGGAATACATGGTATTAGGCTCAAACTTGACTAACTAATTATTTATAGCTTCGGATTTAAAACATGCTCAAATTGGACTTTTGTCATAGTAATGTGAATTGTATAAAATGAAATGTTAATAATTTTCCCAAAAAAACAATTTTGATAAATATTAAAACCACTTATTTGATTGGCTTAAATCAATTATGCTGTAATAACTTCAACTCGGTTCATAAAAACTTTCGAACTTACTAGATTGGTTCAATCTCAATTTGCTCAAAACTAACTAGACTCGACTCATATAAAGTTGGGATGAGTCATTGACTCGTTGAGCTAGATAGTCTCCATTTGTTTGCGATAAGTTTTAAAAGTTATACGATTAAACCTCTATAATATTAATGTAATCAGGACTGACAAAATTTTATTAATTTAGCGAAACATTAAATTATCGAGCTAATAATTTAGTACGTTTTTACCAAGTTGGAACCGTAAGAAATTATTATTTAAGCGATATTAATTTATCGAAGTTTTACGGTAGTCTTATATAGTTAATTTAAATAGTTGTGATATTTAGCCTTCAGAAATTAAGTACAATGTTCAATAATTAATAACAATTTAAAAGATTAACCACACACAATATACATATAATTTACTGGGTTGGCTTGAGCTGGACATATAACAAAAACAGTAAAATAGAAGAAGAAAACGGAACACGTGAATGCAGAAACAAAAAAAAGGTGAAATACACGATTGTCCGTGGTGGTCCCCACCACAACCGTTTGGTATAAATACCTCTCTCCTCCTCCTCTTCTCAACGTTCCTCAACCGTCTCACACAGTTCGCACACAAACACACACACGCACACGGGAAAATCTCTGGAACTTCCTAAATCCGAAATCACGCTGTCGTTCCTTTGTTCAGCAATGAAGCGCAAGTTAGCAGCACGAGCTGGTAGATCGGCAGCCGAATCGCCACCAGCCAAAGAGCGATCGCTCGACGTCGCTAGGAAGCAGCGTTCGCGTCTCTCTCGCCGCCGGCGACTTCACATCTCTCCCATCGTTCAACAATGCGTTGCCAGTTCACATCTCACGGAATTAAGTGAAGTCTCGCACGAATCTAGCGTCGCCTCTGTCGGCAACCAGAATCCGCCGGAGTTCCGGAGAGTTGTTACCAGATCGTATTACAGGAAGAAATTTAAGAACGTGAGCAGTAATTGTGAAGCGGCGCCGGAGTTATCGGAAAATTCGTGCGTGGAGTCGTGCTCGGGAGCAAACAGAGAGTTGAAGCAGAAGAGTGCGGACGTGGAGGAATTAGAAGTTGAAGGAGAAGAGGTTACAAAACCTGAAGTTTCTAGCACTTCGCGATTTTCATTCGCCGGAAACGACGTGGGCAAAGTGACGGAAAATGAGAGTGCCGTCGAAATTCCTGACGTTCAGAGCATTTTTCATGAAGAAATCACGAATTCCAAAGCTGAAGAGGATAATTCATCTGAGGACTGTACTCTATCACTTCACTCGACCGAGAGAACAGCTAAAACCAGTGAAAACAGAGCTGCCTCCGGAGATCTGCAATTTCCAAAGCTCGTCGCGTTTGGCATTAATTTGGCTTGTTCAGAGCAGTTCTCGAACGGAGGCGTTATCAATGGCGGTGAAGAAGACGATGAGGTGCATAGCTCCTCGTCATCAGAGATTTACCATGTGATTTCCGATTCGGAATTCACGAGTTCAGACTATACGCCTTCCTTTTGGAGTTATGCTTCTGGAAGTCAATTTTCCGAGAAGTCAGTCGGAGAAGACAATTCTTCACCAACTTATGAATTGTTCCGGGAATTCAAACAGCAGTTCTTCAGATCGGATTTTGCCTTCAAAGCTTTTGACGATCACAATTCTCATGAAATGAATGTGAGTTTCTCATAATTCCATTATCGTATAAAAATCTGTTCATATTTGCCGTTGATTTATTTATCAGTGCTATATTTTTTAATTCTATTTATATTATTGATAATCAGGATTTAGGATTAGAAGTTATAATTATACCTAAATCAACACTAACAACTGATGACGTAAAATTTTACAATTAGTAGAGGTTTACACGAGCAAATGAAGCTGGAAACTCAACTTTTCCTTCCGTTTGATTTCGAAATAGAATTTTACTCCTATAATAATTATTTTCTTTGTTGATTGCGTTTCTGTATTAAGGTATTGGGGCTAGAAAATGAAGAAGAAGAAGAGAGCTACAGAATGATGAGGAAAAGAGAGAGGAGGCAAGAGTATGTGCGTGACTATGCAGAGGAATACTGTAATAATACTGCTTATGGTGAACTTGTTATCCAGCAACGCTTACAGATGGTCCACTGGATCGTTGAGGTCAGCTCAGTCAATCTCTACTGTTTCTGTACTTTAATCTTTGTGTAGTAATTACCAGAATTGACTATATATAATCTGATCGAAATCGAAATTAATGTGAAATCGGAGAATATTAGTAAAACGTAGACAAATTTATGGATCAAATTGGTTGTTGAAATGGAGTAAGTAGACTGATTAGCATGCTAATGTTTTGAGCTACCATAGCGACCTTGAACGTAGATTTTTTGTTGTCGTATTTAAAATTAAAAAGGATATTAAAAAATTGGTCATGGTACTTCAAATCATATCGTACACTTAAGATAAAGATCTGGCTTTCTAATTTGTTTTGAATGTTAACTCAATATAATGACAATGTAATGGAATAATTAGTAGCAGATGTTCAGTAGTAAACTGCTACTTGAAGAAGAGGTAATCTAAACATTTTAGGTTGGAGTTTGTGTGATGCATGAGGTACCGTCACAAGAGTGTGCTCGTTGGAGTAGTAACTTTTACAGATAGTGAAAACATTTCAATTTTGTTACACAATTCATTCGAAAAAAGAAGAAATAAAACGAGTAAAGAAGAGGAAATTGTTGCTGAACAATGGCATTAAATGGGAGAATAGGTTACACGTTTAATCATACACCCCCACTCGCTTCTCATACAGAAAAATCATATTATTTATTAGATTTATTAATCTGATCTTGATATTTGATCATGCAGCAAGCTACCAAGAAGGAGCTTCAGAAGGAAACCATGTTCTTAGGAGTTAGCCTTCTTGACCGATTTCTGAGCAAGGGATACTTCAGAAACGTGAGAAATCTTCAGATTGCTGGCATTTCGTGCCTCACTCTAGCAACCAGGTTTGAAGAAAATCAACCATATAACTGGTAATGATCTCAATACCTTGAATCATTCTGTTTTCGTTGAGATGGGAATGCACTCTTTGAAAATCGTTTTATGTTTTAGATTATTAAGATGTCCTTGCAAATTAGTTCGACATGAGAATTGTTACTGCATCAATAACATAAACCAGAAAATGTGTATCACATGATGAAACAATTGTGGTACAAGTGGTAAAATTCTCACGAGTAAAACCTTTTATGAAACACCATTATAATGCATGTCTATATTTTATCCCATTGCCGTGAATAATGAACACGTGGTGCCAGAAAAAAAAAAGTGATAATAGGAACATATGGAAAATGCTTGTGGGCTATCAAAATAAATGCTAATGTTACAAGATCTTATTGATTTGATTGTATGCTGTTTTTTCAATCGTCTAGGATTTTCCTCGGTTATTAAGATGCTTACTTACCAAGTTAGGTAGTTACTTGGATAGTTGGAAAAGATATCCAGTCATAATTTTCACAATGCCTTTTACTTTACTAGATTGTATCCGTGTTTAGTAAAAGATAGTATTTATCTCTCTCCTTATAATCCATGACACAGGAACTAACTTCGATAAACGTATTCTGTTTACTCCCATTGTCTCTGAACTTTTAGCAAGAAATTATTCCACGAAACTGCTGTTGGATAAGCTTCAATTACATACTGTTACCATCAATTATTAATGCAAATGCTTGATTATTTATTGGAGTTTACAATTTCACACCAGTGTACGTATAAAGACATTCAACGTGGGAGGCACTATGTACAGCCGGTGCGAAGTGGTGGCTATGGAGTGGGTGGTGCAGGAAGTCCTCAACTTCCAATGCTTCCTCCCCACCTTGTACAACTTCTTATGGTACGCCTTTTTATTCTCTCAGTCATCCATGTAAATAGTATATAACCTCTTTGAATGCAAATTATTTTCGTGTTCTTATGGTACATGTTTTTTTTTCTTCTTTTTTTTTTAGTATGAAAATTGTTTATGTGAATATGTAGGTTCTACCTTAAAGCAGCGAGAGCTAACGAGAACGTGGAGAAGACAACCAAGTACTTAGCAATACTCACACTCATGGGCCATCAGCAGCTCTGCTATTGGCCATCAACCGTCGCAGCTGGGCTTGTTATCCTCGCCTCAATTGCAGCAAATGAAGATGCATCCTGCCACCTAGTTACAGCGGTATGCATGCATTTATAATATCACCGGGTTTTTTTCCCCTGTATATTATTTTAGCCACTTGAATATACAGGTGATTATTCCAAAGAATAAATATAGTTTCTATCAATCAAAAAAAAATTAAAAAATTGAATTTACAGCATAATTGGTTGGAATTGATACTGATGAATCCAACAACTCAATTGTGCAGATTCATGCCCGAGAAAATGATAAGGATTTACCTGAATGCATAAAGGTAATAATATATATTCTGCTTCAAATTTTAATTCGCTACTGCGTGCTAAATCGAACGTGTAACAGTTGTAAATTTGCCGTTTTTCGTATCTTATATCTTTTTTTTGCAGTTATTCATCCTGAACTAAATAAAGCTAAAAAAAATATCTACATTATTTTTTTTTCTGTTTTACAGAGCCTGGAATGGTTGGTGAAGTATCTCTGAATCTGATAGCCAGAGTTTTCAAGTTTCCCTTACTATTAATGAAGATAAATATTGAAGACCAATCAGGTAGCATATAGTTTTATTATTTCCTATATAATAAAACAATTGTTGTCATAAAATAGTCAATAGAAGAATCCATAAGCAACAGTTTACATTCCTTAGTAAGCAGCCTCTGATAAAACTGCTGAAGATATTTTTTATTTCTCCAGTAATATATAATCTTTCACCCCAATTGCTCTTCTAGTTTAAATTAGAATTTGTCATTATTTTCTAGACAATCTTATTACTCTCGTCAACCGAACAAACCACAATAGCCGGAGATTCATCCCTACGAGTATTCGTGAAATCTGACCCCCCAATGATCGGCCCCCTCTCCTTCTTTTCCTCCTCCGCCCTTTCGACTTTCTCCTTAGTCATAACGCCGACATCCTCCGCTGCCTTCGAGACGGCGCTCAGCGCACTTGTCACCCACGAGGCCCCGGTCGACACGTAACGGTTGCTCATGATGCTGCTGGCCTTCTGCTCGGCGGCAGCGAACGCTGATTTGGTGATTTCCGACACCTGGAGGAGCTCGTCCATCTCCTTGACCTTCTCGTTGACCATGGCTGTCCCCATGCTCAGCTTCTCGCTCAGCCCTATCCTGTGGTCGATGGAGGCCACGGTTGCGGAGGCGTTCGACGACAGGTGGTGCTTGTCGTCGAACGACTTGGCCCTGTTGAGAGCGTCTTTTCCCAATACGAACCCCTTTGCTAGCATTGTGCTCACCACTTCCTCGGTTTTCTTCACTGCTGTCCCTGTCATAGTTGCCTTTGGCTACTTTCAACAAAAAAAAAAGAAAAATAGTTATATTTCAATCTGTTCATTAATGCTTGAAGTAATTTGGTTAAATGAGTAGCTTACTGAGGTTAAAGAAGGCGCGTTTGGAGGCAGTTGATAGTTAGCGGTTGGAGTTATTGACACGGAAAGTCCGGCTATCGTCGATCCCTGAAAATTTTCATTTATATTATTCAAAACAAAAAAAAAACTCGAATAGCTGCTGCATGTTTCGATAGAATACGAAAAAACTGCAACCATAGTTAATATTGCTTACTGTCAAGAGTGTAGCTGTGTCTGCTCCCTGTGAATCACTAAAGGTGATATAAGAAACCTGAGTTGTTTCAGTCTCCCTGAAGAAACATAACCATGGTTAAGCGACCACATTTTACGAGAGTTTAATACACAAAAACACTGACCTTTGCATCTCGATATATTGAATTTCTCCGGAAAACGTAAAGAATTCGAATATATCTCTTTCGGAAACTGCTAACGACACATTGCTCACTTTGACTGTCCTTATCTGTCCATTATCGAGTTAAGTTTTAGCAAAAAACAAATTGTTTTGCAGGCATCGGTTTAATTAAAAGCCCGATAATTAAAAGAGGTTTAAGATTAAAAGGCAGTCGATGAACCTCACATCTGAAACATCGATTGTCCAATTAGGAGAACTTATCGGCTGTAGACTTTCGCCTTTTCTCGAGTTAAGCTCCATTAATCTGCAAATTAGTAGCTCAAATACGTGAATTGAATATTTAATTCGGAATACACGGCCGGGACTATATATTTAATTTCTTCAGAGTTCATACAAACTGCTAACAATTTTTCGAGAAGCCATTGTCAAACTGAGTGATAGTTCATATACTACTTGAAGAATGTGATAGAAATGACGAATAATGGGATTAATCGAGGACGAGTAAATCAAGTTGCAAAAACGAAGAATCTACCACTAGTGATAAAAACGGAAAGATTCTCTAATCGTTTCACGAGGAGATCACAAAATCAGCAAATAAAATGTTTTAAAAAAGAAAAATGTGATCTAAATTTATGCTAGATCAGGTGAAATGCACATCGAGTAAAGATCTACCGATAATCTTCACACGCCAACATAGATAGATGTGTGTGTTACGTTTTTCGTGTGTGAGTGTACTTCAAGAATTAAGGCTTACTGGTATAAGATGATAACACAGAGCAGAATCCAAGTTGAAGAATTTGTAGTTCTTTTAATAAAATTGAATCATGCAAAAGAAAAAAAAAATGGAAAAAAAAGAAAAGAAAATTGTGGCATGATCTGATTATGGATTATTAAGCGGAAAAAAGAGAAGTCAAAACAAAAAATAAAGCGGGAAGTTCGCGCCACCCCACGATTCTTCTACCTAATATAAAATTAACATTTACTTTATATTTTGATTAAATGAAAGATATAATATAAAAGGAAAACTATTTCATTTTTCACTTGATATTAGTGTACAAAACTTAATTAGAAATGTAACAAAAAGCCCATCAGACACAAACTCATTTGGAAATAATTAAATTGATGGATCGAGTTCATTAGTTTAAACACACCAAAGCCCATATAGAACTATTATTTAACAATTACTCTATTAACTTAAAAAAATCATTATAGCTCATTAATAAGATTAAAAAAAAATTGACTCCTTGACATAAATTATATTTAGTACGATTTTTAAAATTATAATGAAAAAAAAATAATAATTGAAAGTTTTAACATGATCAATTCAAGAAACATAGCTGTATAGTAAAATTTAGATATTTTTCCTTTTTTTTTCTCTTTTTTTTTTTTTCTTTTTTTTTTTTCTGGAGGTACAGTAAGCTAAGCTGTGTATAAGAGAGGCCCACGTACAATTGCATGAAGTCCCACTAAAATTTAAAAGGATAGCGCCACGTGGGTACAATACAAACCGCTCAGGTGGGACCCACAAAGACAGTTGTCTTAGGGCGACGCAAACGAGGCTCAGTGGATAAATTCTCCCCAGCCTCCCGTTTCACCATAGCCCTCAACGTTGACCAACAAGTCAACAACACCAATTTTTTATTTTATTTTTTATTTTTTATTTTTAAATCTTATTGCAAATTATAAACCCCCACTTTTATAATTGTCTTTAACACAAATCAAAGTTTTCATTTTTCAATTCAAATGTAGTTGAGCTTTGGCGTGCAGATTGCTGTGTTGACCGGCTAAAATAATAGAGTTGACCGAGGAGCAAAATAGTTTACATTATTATAGAATTTCGTCCAATCTATTTATTGCATTTGGTATCTTGATTAAAGAGCTTATTGCAAATACCACCCCTGTGTAATCTCTAATTGTCAAAAACCCCCCTGTAATAAAAAAACTCACTAACTCCCCCCTGTGTTAACGTTTTCGAAGCACACCGCACCCTTTTTTATTTTAGGCTTTGACTAACTGTGAATAGACAAAGATACCCTTAGGGTTTTTTTACCAATTAGTAAAGTATAATACCTAAATTTTAGAATCACTTTAATTTTATAAATATTATGTATTTATTTTTAACTCTTAAAAAATAAAATTAAAATTAAAATTAAACAAAAAATTAAATATATATTGTAATATTAAAAGTTCTTATATGCTTTTTTTAATAGTATTTTTATATGCTTTGTAATTGTTTGTTACATTTTATATTAAATAACAATAATTATTAAAAAAGAAAAACAAAAAAATAAAAGATAAAAGATAAAAGAAAAAAATAAAATATTTAAACAAATATCTTTATTAAATACAGTAAATATATGTTGATAATTAAAAAAATACAAAATAAAACATATCTTAAATATAATAATAATTATATAAAATAAAATAAAAAGTCTTCATTTTCTTCCCCTGCCACCATCCTCGTTTTCCTCCAACCCCCACCCCCTTTCCGCAATCCCGGCTTCCAAACCCCCCCCCCCCCCTCCTCCTCCCCATCCAACTCACAACTCAATTCAACCCAACACCATTACATCTTCAGATTTTCTTCCGCTTGAGGCATGCTGCGGCGGAGGTGTGCGGCTCGTGGTCGGTGAGATCGAACGGAGAAAATGGAGGCCCAGAAAATGAGTTTTCTTCATCTTCGTGCGGCGGCGGCGGCAGTGGCGGTCATCCTTGGAAGCAGAGGTTTCTTCGAAGTTTTCGGGCCACGATTGATCAAAATCCGCAGAGAATTGAAGATGGCCATGTCTGACAGGAGAGGCTTCTGGAGGAAGATGAAGAAGGATGAAGAACGAAGACGGGAAAGAGAAAAAAAAAAAGAAAAAAAAGAAAAGAAAAGAGAGAGAGAAGGGGAACGTGGGGGCATTTCTGAGAATTCACATTTGAAAATGGAGCAAAAATCGCACAAACAGCGCGTGACCGACACGATTTGTTCTTAGGGGGCTAGATGCTTTGACTTTGTTTACACAGGGAGGCATGGGTGAGTTTTTTTTTCATAGGGGGGTATTTGCCAATTCGAGATTTCACAGGGGTGGTATTTGCAATTACCTCCTTGATTAAACAACTAATGTGAATTACCAAATTTGCCCACCAAACAAACAAAAATGTCAAACTTGCAAAAATGTTATCCCAAACGCACATTTGTTGGATATTCTCGTTTATGCTTTTGTAGACAAACAAATTATAATATTAATGAGGGCAGAAAAGCAAATTCAAATAGGATTTTAATATTAATTATTAATTTCTTGATTTTGTTTTGGGGTTTGACTAATAAAAAAGAGAATCTTAGCTGTGTGTTGTTGTGTGCAAGAATGGACCACTTGGCCAGCTGTTATTTACATCAATTATTTTAAGTTATCTGCACAGTGTTATCCATAACTACAATACAGTGTTAGATAGATACACACAATACATACAAAAAAATTAAACAAAGAATTTCTTTCTTCACCTCACATCAGTCAATACATACTGACCACTATATCTATCTATATATATAACAACTTTTTTTTTCTTAATTTTTTTATTTAGCAGCTCCACTATAATAAAGATAACTAAAAGCACAGTATTTTCAGCACTCACTCTTCCCTTTTAGATTTTCCCCCTTTTCCTTAAATTAGGGTTTTATTTTATTTTATTTTAAATTAGGTATAAATTTGGCCTAAACAACTGGTTCTTCAATTCTCATGAATTATTTGTCTCTTGCTATATAAATGCTTTTCCCTCTTTTCTTCAATCAGTCCAGGTATTTTCTTCTACTTAATTTTCAATTTTCATTTTTTAATTTTTTTTCTTTGTTCTGAAGAACAAATTTAGTGATCTGGAATTTGTGTGATGCAGTTTGTAGTTTGCTTTGAGAAATGGTTTCTAGATCATATTCAAATCTGATGGACCTAGCTTCCGGCGAAGCTCAATCGCCTTCCTTCACCCGCCTGAGCCGGCGAATCCCCCGTATTATGACCGTCGCCGGAATTATCTCCGACTCCGACGACGGCTACTCCTCCTCCTCCTCCTCCGCCGCCCAACGCGACAGAATCATAATCGTCGCTAACCAGCTCCCAATCAAAGCCCACCGCAAAACCGACGGCGGCGGCGGCGGCGGCGGCGGATGGACTTTCACCTGGGATGAGGACTCAATCCTCCTCCAGCTAAAAGACGGATTAGCCCCCGACGAAATCGACTTCATCTACGTCGGCTGTCTGAAGGAAGACATCCACCCAAACGACCAAGACGAGGTTTCTCAGATACTCCTCGAATCTTTCAAATGCGTCCCTACTTTTCTGCCGCCCGATCTATTCAGCCGCTACTATCACGGCTTCTGCAAGCAGCAGCTGTGGCCGCTCTTCCACTACATGCTGCCGTTGTCGCCGGACCTAGGCGGCAGATTCAACCGCTCTCTGTGGCAGGCGTACGTCTCCGTGAACAAGATCTTCGCCGACAGGATAATGGAAGTAATCAACCCCGAAGAAGATTTTGTGTGGGTCCACGATTACCATCTAATGGTGCTCCCCACTTTCTTGAGGAAGCGATTCAACCGTGTAAAGCTCGGGTTTTTCCTCCACAGCCCTTTCCCATCTTCGGAGATTTACAAGACTTTGCCGATAAGGGAGGAGCTTCTTCGAGCCATGCTCAACTCCGATTTGATCGGTTTCCACACGTTCGACTACGCTAGGCATTTTCTGTCGTGCTGTAGTCGAATGCTGGGTATATCTTACGAGTCGAAAAGGGGTTACATAGGGTTAGAATATTACGGTAGAACCGTAAGTATCAAGATTCTTCCGGTCGGGATTCATATGGGCCAGCTTCAATCGGTTTTAAGCCTACCCGAAACAGAATCTAAAGTGGCGGAGCTTATAAACCAATTTAAGGGTAAGACGATGTTGCTCGGTGTAGATGATATGGATATATTCAAAGGGATTAGTTTGAAGCTATTAGCGATGGAGCAACTCTTGTCACAAAACCCGGAGAAAAAGGGTAAAGTCGTCTTAGTCCAAATTGCAAACCCCGCACGAGGCAAAGGAAAAGACGTGAAGGAAGTTCAGGACGAGACTTTCTTAACGGTTAAACGAATAAACGAGAAATTCGGTGAACCGGGGTATGATCCGATCATATTAATTGATAAACCGTTGAAGTTTTACGAGAGGGTTGCTTATTACGTAGTGGCCGAATGTTGTTTAGTTACTGCAGTTAGAGATGGAATGAATCTTATACCGTACGAGTACATTATCAGCCGACAAGGTAACGAGAAATTGGACAAAGTTTTAGGGCTGGAAAATTCGGCACCGAAAAAGAGCATGTTAGTTTTATCCGAATTCATCGGGTGCTCCCCTTCTCTAAGCGGGGCAATCCGGGTCAACCCGTGGAATATCGATGTAGTGGCTGAGGCAATGGACTCTGCAATTATAATGGCGGGCCCCGAAAAGCAACTAAGGCATGAAAAACATTATAAATATGTGAGCACACACGATGTGGCGTATTGGGCTCGGAGTTTCTTGCAAGATTTGGCGAGGACTTGTAAGGATCATGTTCGAAGGAGGTGTTGGGGAATCGGGTTCGGGTTGAGTTTCCGGGTCGTTGCGCTTGACCCGAATTTCCGAAAGCTGGCTGTGGAGCATATAGTTTCGGCTTATCGAAGAACTACGAAGAGAGCTATTCTTCTTGATTATGATGGGACTTTGATGCCTCAGAATTCGATTGACAAGAAACCGAGCTCGAAAACCCTTGATATTATCAACACTTTATCGAGAGATAAGAATAATATGGTCTTCATTGTTAGCGGTAGAAGGAGAGATACGTTAGATGAATGGTTTTCGTCTTGTGAGAGGCTTGGTATTGCGGCTGAGCATGGCTATTTTATGAGGTGTGTGCGGAAATTAACTCGTTTTTTTTTTCTTTATTTTTTGCAACTAATATCATAAATAATTGATTAAACTTCCACAATTTCACGTCGTTCTCGATTACGATCCATAATTTCTCAAAAAAATCAGGTTATCTTCTTGTAAATGGCGTTTTGGTAATTACGAGCTCTGTTTCTAATGATTTAATAGATGAAAAGTATTAATTTCAGTAAATGGGTTCGATCGATACAACATTTATAGTCGTGAGATGGAGTTAGATTAGAAGGGGGTTATATAAGTGGAATTTGCCCTTAATTATACACGGAAAAAAAACTTATGTTATTTTTTTTGGATGTTGTTTTTATTAGGATGAAGAGAGACGAAGAATGGGAAACGTGTGTGCCAGCTGTCGAATGCAATTGGAAGCAAATAGCGGAGCCGGTGATGCAGTTGTACACAGAGACAACCGACGGATCGGTAATTGAGTTTAAGGAAACTGCAATGGGATGGTGTTACGAAGATGCGGACCCTGATTTTGGATCTTGTCAGGCGAAGGAGCTTCTTGATCACCTCGAGAGTGTGCTTGCTAATGAACCTGTCACTGTCAAGAGTGGCCAAAACGGAGTCGAAGTTAAACCTCAGGTATCAAATTCAAGATTATTGCTGTTTTTAGTATTATAGTATATATCGTCAATTATACATACCTCCCCCGAGGTTAGGCCAAATTACACCTAGACCCCCCCTCAGGTTTGGTAAATTACATATGTTGTTCTTTTAAATTTCATTTAAATCAAACCGACCGATTTTTTTCTCGAAAATACAACGTCAAACCGACCGAATTTGAATTAAAATTGTTTGTGCAAAGAGAAATGGCGATTCTCAACCTCAAACCATATCGCTTTTTTTTTCTTAACTTTTTAATAAATCAAAAAGAATATCAGGGTGATGATAAAATGTCAATTGCTGAATTGGGGTTGGGTTTGTGAATGGAACCAAATGTCAAGGGAGCTAAATGTAATTTTCCAAACCTGAGGTGGTCTATAGGTGTCATTTACGGTAGTATGTGTAACGTATCGTATTTCCTTGCTGTCTTAAAGTCATGATATTTCATTTTCTAAAAGGTAGCTATAAAATTTCGATAAAATTTCTTAGGCACTCTGAAAAATCTTTCGTTTCATCTTTCTTATTGATTGAGTAGCTACCCTCGTTTAAAAGTTAGATTTGTTAAAGATGAAATACGTTTAGGCCGTGTTTGAATTAATGGATATGAATTTCAAATCCGCTAGTCCAAAACAGGATTTTGAGATTTGAATCCATTGTTAAAATCAATTAACCCAAACAATTCCGATGGATTTGTTATTATTATGGAAATTTTATTTACTAGGTCCAAATTATATTTACTAGGTCCAAATTATAACGAAGTCTTGAGTATTTAATTAGTAAATTTTTCTCCACATTGAATATGCAGGGGGTGAGCAAGGGTCTTGTGGCAAAACGGCTACTCACTCTAATGCAAGAGAAGGGAATATCGCCCGATTTCGTACTGTGCATCGGAGACGACAGGTCAGATGAAGACATGTTCGAGGTTATTTCAAGCTCCATTGCGGGCCCCACCATAGCACCTCGTGCAGAAGTGTTTGCATGCACAGTTGGACGAAAACCGAGCAAGGCTAAATACTATCTCGACGACACAGTCGAGATTGTTAGGTTGATGCAAGGTTTAGCCTCTGTTGCCGACCAGATGTTCGTATAATATTTATAATATTAATCTCTCTGTTAATTGTAAATTATAGACTCAGAAATGTGTTTTTCCTTTTTTTTTTTTTTTTTTTTTGGGATATTTTAATGCCACGTGGTTGTTTGATGAACTTATGGGGTTGAGGTGTATATATAAGAGGTCTTGGTTTAGTTTCTTGCATTTGGTTGTGAAAATTCGGATGATACTAATTTAATGTCTTAATTAATTTTAGAAGGTACTAATTAGCGTTGAAACGACTGAAAATTTAAGTTATTAGTGAGATGTATTAATTAATATTTAATATTAATATATTTGTTAACTAGAAATTGGGTCGTTAATCTTAAGAATAATGACAAGGGGAGTTTGCATTTTTGCTCAACGTCCTGATCTCGATCTGGATCTGATGCTAGATTTAGAGACTGTAACGGAATTTCTTATAAAAACTAACAGTAATAGTGACGGATGATTTGCACTATTTGGTTAAATTAAAACTAGCAATAACGATGATGCACATCTTAGTTATTATATTGATAAGCAATATCTTAGTTAAAATACACTGGGAAAATAAAAAAAGCCTAAAACAAGAATAAATGCATCCCACAACATACACAACCGTATGCCAGATTTTCGATGGTGGCGTGGGTTGGGAGCATGGATGTAGCATATTTGACGAAGCACAGTGGAATTGGACGGAGTGCAGTTAGATAGACGAGATGAAACACGTGACAGAAGAACAAATGACGTTTAACAAATTACAAAAATTCAGCTGTCCTGATCTAAAAAAATATTAGTGCCCGATAGTATTTAGTAAATTGCCCGTTTTAAAATACGGCTAATATGAAACCCTTTTTTCAATGGGAAACCAATTATTCGTTGGCTACTTTTTATTACAATTCTAGTGAGGAAGACTCTAACATTAACTTCAACTCAGGGAAGTCAAGTGAAAAGAACAAATAACATCATTAATTTCAGCACCTGAATAATTTCTTGACGACTTTCGTTTGTCCAAAACTTGACCCATACAAAAATAAAATAAACAAAAGTGAAATAAGCATTAAAAATTAAGGTAAATTACACATACACCCCTGATGTACGTTAAAATAGCTTTAAGGTCCATGTAGTATTGGTAATTACATGTACACCCCTGAAAGAATTACCGGAGCCAAGATTTCTTGTCCTGTCGATCGATATGCACTATATTTGTTTCCCGCGGGGCCGTTAACGCTATTATTGACGAATATTTATAAATCTTACAAAAACTAATAAGGATTTGAGAAATGTTAGGAGAGTCATGTCTGAAACTAGTAGTCCGTTGGAACCCTAACGAAATAACTTATATGATGCACTATTATGTTAGGGTTTCTAACAATGTTTCAGGGGTGATTGTAATTACCGATACTGCAGGGACCTTAAAGTTATTTTAACATGCCTCGGGGGTGTAGGTGTAATTTACCCTTAAAAAATAATAAATATAACTATGCAAGGAAGAAAATAAGCGTTCATATACCCAAAAAATTCCTACGTAAAAACATCTCTTTCTCATTATCAACACGCAATTGGATGTATAGTCGTTAACGCCTAGTAATTTATGAATTGTACCCATGGAAAAATACCCGATTTTGATCTTTATTTTTTGGATTATTGGACAATGTGTTTTCTATTATCCACATTTTTTTATTGAGTAAAATTAAAAGATAAAGAAATTTAAGTTTAGACAGAAAACATATTCAGGTTTAGTGCAACAAAAGTCCAGTTACATAGTCCACAAGTAACTTATATTTCTGTTTAAGGAAATAATATTTCATTTTTAATGAAAATTCAAAGTAAGTTATAAAGAGATGTTTTAGGGCAAAATACGGCCACTCCTGAGGTGTGGATAAATTATGAAAAAACCCCTCTTGTTTGGATAGTTACAGCCACCCCCTTTTAAATATTTTTACATAAAATTTATGTAATTCGGTTTTTTTGGCTCAAACTCCCATGAGCTTTGTTAAGCTAAGCTCGAGCTTTAAATAATAATAATAAGAAGAAGAACAATAATACTTTTATTATCTAATATCTAAAATAAAACAAAAAGAAAATAATCAAACAACTATAATCGGATTCGAGCTCGAATTGAGCTTTTGTCGAGTCGACGAGCCAGCTCAGTTCATTACCACTCCTAGTGTCCAATGTTTAGATGTTCAATCTCACACGCGAGTGTGTGTGAGGTACATAAATTAGTTAATTAACTTGATTAAGGCTATAATTAATCTTTGAAATGAATGAACCTAACCCAAAGTACACGGAGTGTGTGAACGTGATGAAGAACAAACAAACTTGGACGCATTCAGTTGCCAAAAACAGGTCGACCAACTATTATCTATCATATATATACACTTTGACTTAATAAAATCAATTATCTTATCTGTTCAAAAAATAATAATAATAATAATAATAATAATAATAATAAAAACACTATTACCTGCATTTTATAATTTAATTACTATTAAGTCATTATTTATTATTCAATTGATTATTAGCTCTTCTATAAGTGACCAAGGTCATTTTTGTCTTTTTTTCCTAAAATCAAGAAATATTTATTGAAATTCTTAATATTTCTGTAAAGCTGAAAAACAAATTCAAATTATTTAGGAAAAAAAGGAAGTTAAAAATGTGAGTTACACAACCGTAATTAAATTACAAGACAAACATCCATCCAAATTCAAATTCAAATTCCAAATTTACAATCAAGAGTTACTAGTAGTAAATACTAAATAGTTATTACTAGTTTGACCAAAAAAAGAAAAATACTGCAAATGTTGCCAAAATAATGGACTTCATACCAAATAATAATTAAAAAGTTGTTTTATTTTATTTTATTTCAACACGGAAAACCCATCGATAACCGAAACATGAAAATATGACCAAAACACCCCTTGGACCAAATCTCCCCTATAATTGCACTGTGCTTTCTTCGTGTGTGAATCCATCTATGCTTCACTTACCCCATTCCAAAAGACACGCAAAACACACACTTTTTGTGTGTGTCTATATCTCTGTGTGTGTGTATATGTGTGTGAGAGAGAGAGAGAGGAGGTCAAAGTTATAATAATACATAGTTTATAAAATGGACAACAACTTCAAGCAAGTAACCAAAATAAATAAATAATGAAAATCCATTCACATAATCCCATATATAATCCCCAACCTTTTCCAAGTAAAATCTCTAATACATACATACACATACATACAAATATACATATATATGTATATATAGATTGAGAGATTTGAGAAGCAGGAAAAAAAATATAATAGTTAGTTAATGATGAGTGATAATATAGGGATTGTGCAAAGGGCAATTTCGAGCCTAGGCAAAGGCTTCGATTTAACCTCCGATTTCCGACTCACATACTGCAAGGGAGAACACCGGCTCATCGTACTAAACGAAACCCAGACCCGACGACTGTCGGTGCCGGGTTTCGG